AAGATTTTGAGGCCTCTGCTCTTTTGATTCAACAGGAATTCAAAGCGAGTGGGTAGCAATTATATAAACTGGGAACCAGTGCTCTTTCCTGTCCATGTAAAACTAAACAGAGAGGGAAAAACCAACAGTTAATGCTCAATCTTGCCTTTTCCTCGAACAGATTTAAATAGGAGGATACAAATTCTCGAGAAATTTAATCAGCAATTGGTATGAGATGCAGCAAGATGCAAGTTTCAAGTGAAATGTGTCGTTACTATGTAAAGGCAGTATTCATTCTCGAGCAGAGGAGCGTTCGTATGAGTTGTGAACTGCTCTCTTGATACCCGGGCGAGAAGGTGATACTGATTAGCTCTCTTCTGTTTATAGTATTGTTCTATAATCGGTGTATATTTAGATTAAATTGGGTTGATATACTTGATGTGTTACGCGCGTTTCTATCATAATTTGAGTCTTTTGCGCGTGATTATTGGATGATGACTGGAGTATGAATATTTTGCAGTGAGGAGAGTGGATTTGAGTTATATGGTTAACGTCGTGAGAGGTAGCGTAGGGCTGCACGGAATGACGGATTGATCTCTCCTAATTTCAATTAAGTATGAGGCGTGGTGTTATTGTCTTGGGTGTGGCTATTTGTGATTAGTCAACGCGCGTGATTTGCGATCTCATCACAACTTCAACTAATAAATTTTGCTAGATTGTGTTGGAGTGTCTTTTATATCTTTTACCCATAGTAGTATATATTTGGTTCTTACATTATAATTTTATTAGTGATATTGATATTAGTATTATCTATTTGACTATATCTGCCTTCACAGCCTTTTTGCATGCCCTCCCCATTGCCTCTATGAGGTACGATTACTTTGCCTAACTCTAAAATAGGCCTTGTTCTGTTTGAGCATCATTTTTCTGATTTTCTTTTCCTCTTGACTATTGGGTCAATTTGTGGTTATCGTAAATTAGTTTCTTGATGTAAAGATAGCTCTTCTGTTATTTCTGATGTTAATGAGTATATGGGTTAATTCTATCATCAGAATAAGTTGATAGGTCACACCACATAATTTAGCCATGAAATGAGCCGTCGTATATTATATATATATATAATATATATATACTATATATATATTATATATATAAAAAAATCATATATCTATTAATTTATATAAAATATATATATATATATTATATACTATACTATGAGAAGAGAGAGAGAGAGGAGAGAGGAGTAAATAATTTACATGAGATCATTATTTTCCAATCATGTGCTACTTGAATGTAAATTCCTATCATATTTTTAAGTTCCTTTTATTATATTGACTATTATAAATTGGAAACTTCTCATTCTTGAAATAAATGCTCCAACCACCATTTTAAATCATAGTTTGAAACTTGGACATAACCTGATCAAACCCGACCCATGTCTAAGAAGTTCAATGAAATGGACATCAAGTGTAGGATGTACGAACAAAAAGTGTGTGATAAGTATCTTAATTAGAACATATATCATATAGTTAAGTACATGTTTGAATAAATGGATGCATATATCCAGGGAGCGTCCATGAAGTTTGGGTATGAGTACGTGTCCGGTATGGAGTACCAGGGAAACATGGGTAACCATCAGATGGCAGTAACTAGTAAGATATACTTTCAATAGTATAGTCGCCCTGACGATCAAAAGGTGAGTAAAGAGGATTCCATGCAACCATAAAAGAAATCGCAAAACATGCCGCCGTAAAAATGAATTACCAAAAAAACAACCCACAGAAAAGGCAACACTTTTACAGAACTAACTTAGAAGAATTATTGGTGCCGGTAAATGCAATACATTGCTATGCTTTACTATCTTCTATAAATGAAAATTGGAGCCCCAAACTGCCTGCCTAAACACTGAAATAAGTCGATTTTTACTCCATTTACTCCAGCTATTCATATCAAACACTAGCAGAACCGACAGATCTAAGAGAATATTTGTATCAGGTTATTACTTTAGAACTTTTATATAATTGTCCCGTTCTTTGACATGTGAAGAACATTGTTTTCGGGAATGCAAGATGCTATAGCATTCCCAGCAACATGGATTCAATTGACTCGAAACAGGGAACATTAGCGTATTGCATCACAGTGGAACGCGACCCAATTCGCCAACTCCTAACAACTCAGTTTGGAAATAACTACTATTCAGAAAAATAAACAACAAAACCATAAGAAATTAAGTGAATAAAGAATGCATGCCTCAATAGCAACTTTAAAACTGATTCTAGAGGTTCTTTCACCATTACTGCTATAAATTAACATATTTCTTGAATATGACTCTTGCAGAACCTCAGTCCCTATATGAGGCTGTTTGGTTGCCCAAAAGAACAAAGAAATGTATTACGGAAAATCTATTTGCTATAATACTTTCTTCACTTTAATTCCCACCTTGAAACCAAGAAGAAAGGATGTGACACCTTCTTATATTAGCTGATGTGACCCATAGTTTAGGAAACCCATTCCTTTTTTCCCTTAAAGGAAATGGGAGGACACCATTCCCAAATTAACTTTGATTTGGGTATCTAAGAAACCAGTCAAACAGGCCCATATTTGTAACCGAACCTAATAAGTGGCAACGCAACTCTTATCAGTCTACATAAAACTGCGCACTTTGTCCCTGATTCCAAATAAGTGGCATACTGCTTAGCTTCCTGTCCCACGAATCTGAGTGAACCGCATTCCATGCAACTATGGTCAAGAACAAAATACGTAGTGTGTAACTAAAGCATTTTTGTTGCTGAAAAGCTTGGATAGAATTTCTTTCTGCAGTTCCAGTTGTGGAGACCGCTGAAAAAAACCTAAAACTAACTTAAAATAGGATTGAGCAACAAAGTCATAATATTTTTAGGGTTATTAGCATATATACCGTTCAAATCATGAGTATTTGCAAAACTACCCTCCAAATCTTAGTATTTACAAAATACCACCTAAAAATCATCAACTTTGAAAAAAATACCCCATAAGTCGAAAGATCAGAAACTTGGTGAGTAAAAATTGTTGATATTTTTGCCATTTCAGTTACAAATTAGCCTATTAAAGTTGACGATTGATTGATCTGGGGTTATTTTTTTACAAAATTCATGATTTGAGGGGTAGTTTTGCAAATACTAATATTTGAGGGATAGTTCTGTAAATGCCCATGATTTAAGGGGTATATATCAAAATAACCCAAATTTCTATCATAAATACATTACAACGACACATTAGCATGTCAAACTATTTTATATAGTGTTATTGCGAAGTGTACTGTTCTCCATCTCATGATCTATGCCACCAGCAAAAAAGTTAGCATCACAAACAATAATAGACAGTGAAATTTTACCGTTCCAATCGTGCCAGAATAAATCTCCTGGATGATTCTATCCAAGTCAATGTCACATTCAATGGATCAACTATACGAAAGATTAAGATTGCTGGCACAATGAGTTGAATTATTGTTCTTTTCAGGCATACATTCCCTTCATGCTAGGATCAAGTAGATTAAATAGTAAACAGAAGCATCGACAGAGAACGATTTGACAGGTCAGCATACTTTTTAAAAGATAATTTTTGGACCAACTTAAATGTTAAATAAGATACCGATGTTGAAGTATTCTTTGCTGCAATAAATGCCCGAGAAAGGATTGCAAATTTATAATAAAAAAAGAAAAAAGAAAAAGATAATTCTGAACCTTCTACATTACTACTTAAATGATTCAGCACCCCATTCTCAAGTATTATAGTACAAGTAACAAAAGAAGATCCTCATTTCTTAATGGAGAGAATATCCCCCCTACAGCAAGACAAACAATGAAGGCTTTATCAAAATTTTTGGGGTCGGCCACAGTCATTGTGTTCTTCCATTTAGTTCTAGGGGTAGTTTCACTCTATCATACAATTTGTGCCCACTGCAGCATTTGACCTACTTGTGAAAAAAATTAATTTGATACCATCAGTGAGCAAGAAACCATAGCAACAAAATTAAATTGTATCTAGAAAAGAGTAAGTATCTTATCTAGTGACAAGACATGCATTTCAGTGTCTTAGATAAATAAAATCATGTGTTGCATCAAGTAACTAAGAAACCAAAAGAGAAAAGAATTTCATCCAAAATTAAAAACATTTAGCAGTAAAAATTTCAAAATAGAATTGCTCATTAAAATTAGAAAAGCAAGATAATAGCAAATAAGGAAGTCATTCACTGCCAAAAACAGAAAGCAATTATTATATCATGTCCTGCATAGGGTGCCGAATCACACAAAGTTCTGAAGGATTCTTAACCCATATGACTATTTTTAGCCAAACATTATAAACATACTTACACGTAGCATTTGGAATTACAAATACTGAGTAACTGAAGGAAGAACTTACTCTCGGCTTCAGAAGGAACACACTATGATAAAGCCCAAACAAAATTGCCCGTACTGCCAATGGTGAACCATGTAAAAAGCAAGTCAGCATTTTTCAGATAACTGGCGTAATGAAAACGTAGTAAGAAGCAGAGCAATCGAGACTCCATCCTACATCCATTCACAAGAAAATTCATCAAGTGGAAGAGCTTCTGCGTTGTCCAGCCATATTCTGGTACCCTTAATTGAATGCGGATAAGTTGTACCTGATACAAGAGGGTTTGTCACATATCACCATACTCTTGTATAACAAACATAACAATTAAGCTATATGCCTAGTAGCAAAGAAATAAAAGTTTCTACAATAATTTAGATCCAACATGAGTAATAACCCTGCAGGAATTTCTCAACACGTAACGAGTACGTAATACGAGGCTTATCCTTTTCTCCTTCCCCCAACCAGTCCAGCTCACCCCACCACATATCTAACTAATATAGCAATCTTTTTCCTTTTCCTTAAATCACCAATTACCATTCTTTGTGCAAAAGTTAGAAGACAAAATCCTCCTCACGGTAACATATAATCTAATAAACCTACTTGGTGATGGAGAGATATGCAAGGGGCCAACAACATGATAGATTCTGAAGCAATAACTTAGTTTCCACTCTTCCCTCCGTCGCCGATACACATCACGTAGCGGTGCCCTCTTGCACAACCAACCAACTCTAGTCTAGTCGAATAGTTTTCAACTCGTGATTGGGGTTAACGGAGAGAGACGGACCATAATCTAAATATTTTCTTTAAAAACCTCAAAACTTTCATCTTTAGAAACTCCCAACAATTTCCTTTACTTCCTTGAGAAAGCCCCTTCCCTGCAATTTAGCCGTGATTTCGTTCGTTAAATTGCGAGACATAACATAAAAAATACAAATTTTACAGCTAATTACCAATTACCCTTTTATCTTTTCAGTTACGGTCAACAAAGAGAGAGAGAGACCCAAAATTTCCTTATCAATTTCCCAAATTCAAACCCGCAAACTCGAAAATGACGCCTTCCCCTAACCTAATTTCGCGCTAATTTTAGGGGGGGGGGCGGGGCGGGGAATCTGCACATCTAAATTCGCTATCCAGGGAATACCGAATTCAGTGAGAGCGCCTAAATCTCTCCCCCAGACTAATCACAATTAACGCAGTAATCATAGCAGGTAATTAATAATAATAATAATAATAACAATTGTTCTTGTTGTTGTAATAAATAATTAAATACCAAAGCGATGAGGGAGACGAGGGAGTAAGAGGCGCAGAGAGCGTAGAAGAGCCCCCGCTGCCACTCCACCGAGCTGTCCATCTCCTCCCACCACGAGATCCCGTTCCACTCCTTATCCTGCTCCGCAGCGAACCCTACCGCCCTCAACGCAACCATTCTCTCTCTCTCTCTCTCTTCTTTCTCTCTCCTCGTTCTGACTCTCTCTCTCTCTCTCTATCAGTGTTGGAGAGATCCAAAGCGAGAAGGCGGAGAGAGAGGGGGAGAGAGAGAGAGAGAGGAGAAACGTGGAGACAGAGAGAGCGGACAGCGAACAGGACAAACTGCCACGTGGCATTTTTAAAGCTTCAGGGGGTGAAAAAAGTGAGCTTGGTCGGTTCGGGCGGCCTTTCTTTTTTATATTTTCTGCGACCTAAGCGTCGAAATTTACGAAGTATAATTTATATGGGAGTAAAAAAACGAAAAATTCGGAATCCAAATATTTGAGAGATGTAAGGGGCCGATATTTGAAACAAAAGAATTAATAAAATAACGCATTATTCTTCAATACAAATGGAGCACTTCATCGGAGATCAGATACTTTATTTAACTATTGTAAAATTCGAGCACAAGTTTCATAAATAAATTAGAAAATTCAACAAAATATTTTTCTCCCTACATAATAATTACTTGAAAATACTTGTACATTTGGGATTCCTTCAAAAATAATATATATTGAAAATCAAAGCATAGGCAGCTTAGGAGGATTCAGAAACATATATAACGAACATTTATTCAGAAAATATCCATATTATTAAAAAAACTAATATTAATTTATAAAAAGTCTTTGTTACAAATGACTAACTAAAATTATCCTCAATTGCAGTTAAGGATATTGGAAATCCTCCGGATATTTGAAGAATTAAATTGCATTTGAAGTAATGGGTGAGCAAGCATCAGAGTTAAAAATGGAAAAAATGGTTTTTTTTTTTTTTGGTTGGGTGACCATTTTTTTTTTTTGAAGAATTTTTCAAAACAGACCCATTCCCCTTTTTTTTTTTAACCGACCCTTTTTTTTATTTACCAAAACCGACCCGATTTTGTAATTAGCTACTTAATCACCTTCATAAACAGTCGGGGTTGGCAACTCCGACTATTTAGAACATTAATTTTTAAGGTTTAAGGCATCTAATTAGGGTTTAACACCTTCCTAAATAGTCGGGGTTGGCAACCCCGACTATTTAGAACATTAATTTTTAAGGTTTAAGGCATCTAATTAGGGTTTAACACCTTCCTAAATAATCGGGGTTGGCAACCCCGACTGTTTAGGATGGTGATTAAGCTGCTAATTATAAAATCGGGTCGGTTTTGATAAATAAATAAAAAATAGATCGGTTTAAATAAAAAAAATTGAAATGGGTCTGATTTGAAAATTTGTTCTTTTTTTTTTTTGGGGGGGGGGGGGGGGGGG